TTTTTTCATTTCTGAATTTGCCTGACAATGGTAATGGTCTAAACGCTCCAACAATCCGACCAGTTACTTCTCCTGATGATTCCCCGCCAAGTATGCGAGACATATCAACAGCAAATATTGTTCCACCTCAGCGCATAGCAACAGCGATTACGAGTGGAAGCATAGGATTGCCTATTAAGCCACCGCCGCAACCGACCTATGAACCACTTTCTGATGATGATGATTGATGTTAATCAATCTTTTTATTTAGTCGAAATATCTATTTATTTTCTTTTGCCGATTTTGTGATAACTCTTTAAAAGTCAGATTCAATCTTTTTGCTGCAGCTGTACCCATCTTGTGTCATTGGTGACATTGGTGTAAAAAGTTTTGCAAACGTGTTATATGGCTTTGGCGGATTGCGCTGCAGCTTATTTTTATTTACTTCTCATTTAGTTTGTTTTAAGAAATTGAATTTTTGTGTTCTATTTTGTTAACTAACATATATTTTGATGTCCTGCTAATAAGATTGAAATTTCGGTGTATTTCGATGTCTTTCTTCACACTTGCCCAGTTGTATAATCTGCTTTCTTCTTCCGAATCCTGTTGTTTGCTTGTTTTGCCTGTCTTATTTCATTGTATTTCTTGTTTATAACAGCTTATTTGCTGCTGCAAATTTGCTTTTACAACGTTTTTATTTGAAATAGAGCGTCATGTAGAAAAAAGCAAAGCATAGATTAGCTAATCTTGGAAAAGAAGACCAGAAGATTTCTGTCCACTTCTTATAATTGAGATTGATACTTCAAATGATAACATTTTCGATTAGGTCTGCCTCGTTTTATCCAGTTTCTTCCTTCAACGGTTTTTCTTTTTATAAAAATCGTTGTAAAGAAATCTCTGATCTATGAATACTTTCCCTGTCATTTTTTATTCTTGATAAAATTATATTGATTATGGCATTTGTTCACTGTGTTATCAAAATTTTGTCGCATATTGGTTTGATTTTTTTAAATCGTTAAAATCGTTTTGCATTATTTATGGTTTTTGCAAAATATGTCATTATAATTTTCCTTAAGAATTTGAGAATTTTGATCATCACTTATGAAGGCAAGAATTGTCAAAATTTTCTCTTCAACCAAAGTGAAAATTCCACGATCTTGTAACTGAGTGAAGATTTACCTACCATTCGTTTCTATTTTTTCTCTGAAAAGCTTCAATGCCATTTCAAGTAAGAAAAATTTTAAGTCCATGCTTATTTAATTGATGCACTATTTCAGGAGAGAAAATATGCTGCAAATTTCTTTTTACAAATTTTCTTTCAAAAACTTTTATGAAAATAATAATATTTGAAGATGACGATAGCTTAGATAGATATGAATCTAATTTGAATAACTTATACATTACATGAAAACACATTTACGCTCCTAATAGCAGCTGAACGATTGGCGCTAGTCTACTTTTGTGATAAAGAAAAGGAGAAACATAAACGAGTTGGGCATTAATTAATTACCACAATAAATGTAATAATGTGAAGTGGTTGAGTGAAATATGATGGAATTAGTTTCGGTGTAATTTGGTTGTTTATTCTGGTGCCAGTTAGATTCGATAAATAAATTGATCCGTTAAATGATAAAAAAAACTGAATCAAATCCTGAAATTGAAATTGAAATCAAATCCTGAAAGTTCATTTTCGATTAGATTAATTTTAATTTATTTGAAATAAAACCATTAACGAAACATCAATCGTGTCACTGATGAATATCTAATTAAATAAATGCATAAGAGGTTTGCGAAGTTCGACTGTTCGAAAAAGGTCATGTCCAGATCATAATTGTTCTATTATTGGAATCAATGAAAAAACAATTTATTAAAAATTAAATAATTGAGAAAATTAACGATTCGAGTAAATTAAAAGATTTAAACTGCGGTTAATATAGCATTTCAAACAAACGATATCCTTATCAGTAGCTATTATCAGTTTTCGAGTATATTTGATTTTGAATATTTGGATTCTCTTTCTCTTCTATTCCTTAAAATTTCAAATTAAATTTTCAATTCCAATAGTACCAAATTAGTGTTGCTCTTAGAATATGATTTTACTGAGCAGTCATACGGTAATTGACGCATTGATATTAGTATTGTTTTTTGTGCTGTATATCGAATAGTGATAAGTTGAATGTTATCAGGTAAGCGTGGTAGACCAATCAATGTTGATATTATATCTGAAATGAAAACAGTGATAAAATTTTTTATATATTGCTAAGAATAAGTGAAGAATGAGTGGTTCATTTTTGATCTGATACTAAATCAAAATTTATTTTTGCTAATTTAAAATTTTTAAAGTTGAAATCAATTATCATTTTTTATTGAAATTTCATATGTTATGTCAATTTCTACAAGTTGCTATAACAAATGATAATGTTCATTGATTTAAAGTTATTTTCATTTGGCAATTACTTAATTACTTATTTCTTAATTACTGATTAATATGATAATCATTCTCGTATCACTAATAGTATCAACATCAATTTATGTATCTCACAATCATTCTCGTACACTCTTAATGACACTATAAATCGTGCTTAGTGATTGCTTTGATAATCATTCTCGTATCACTATGAGTATCTGCATCAATTTATGTATCTCATAACCATTCTCGTATACTCTTAATATCACTATCAATCATGTTTAATGATTGATTTGATAATCTTTCTCGTATCATTAAGACTATCAGTATCAATCATGTTTAATTTAAGTGAAATGAATGAATTGATAAGTAAAAATGAAAAATTCATAAAATGAAAAACCATTATCATTCGTTGAATTGATATTTGATGATGTGAATAGAGAAGCCGGATAAAGTAGTTCCTCCAAAGTTTGTTGTACAAATTGCGAATGATATAAAATATTCTTCATATTCATCGGTAAACTATCATTTTCTGATTTGCTAACTCTTTTCTTCCGATTAAAATTATCCACTGATGATGGTATTTTTGATTCAAAAATAATTCGATATTTGAGATGTGACGGATAACTCTAAAAATTACAAAATACATATATTTTAGGAGAAAATATTCCGGTGAAATGATAAGTGATAAACAACTATTGATTAGTAGAATAATTTTTGAACCTCACTAGCTTCGTAATATTCTAAACCTTTTCCATCATCATTATACATTTCCCGATCTATCATCAGTGTAAGCACACCCAATTTTGAAGTAACACCAGTTGATTGTGCTCCAAGAATGGTGCAACGAAGTTTATCATCTTCTATCATTACTTCGGTAATCATCGGATAAATATTCGCTTCGAATTTCATCTTTTTATTATAGCTATAAAATGAAAAAAAGCACTTCTCATTATTAATTAATATTAATTAATTAGCGGTAATAATGACAGTGATAGAAAATACAATATCGATTAATCGAAAGATTCAAAATATATAAACTATGGAAAAATTTAGCAAATATGAATTGATAAAATTGAAATAAAACAAAGCGAATATTTAGCATCTTCCTTTTTAAACTAACATTATTCACTAACCTTCGTTTTATCAAATACATTCCATTTATATCAGTATAGAAATGATTATTATTTTTAATATTGCTATTTAAATTCATAAAGAATGTATGATTGGGAATTGAAGTAACATTTGTGAAAACATCAATTTGTAGAGATCGAGCTAAATCATCTGTTGAATTGATAATGGTAATATGATATGCTAATTGTGGTGATAATTGCTGATAAATGCTTGAATAGATCGGTCCTTCAATAATAATCGTTGACAATTGATATCTATTGCTGATATTCTATAAATGTACACAAAAAGATTGTTATCATTTGCAATATCTTTAATAAAAAAAGTAAACAAGTAAACAAATAATATCAGTGAAACTTGTAACGAAATAAATTTATTAAAAAATAAGTGTAGAAATGCATTAAGAAAAATTCTAATAAATAATTACGATAAGTAAGCAAAAATGTAAATAGATAAGCATAAATAAATAAATATAATAATAATATTAATTTTGAAAAGGTAAAATAACCCGGAATGGTAATCTCGATACCATGGTATATGCACCACCGTAATCAATGATTTGATTAAAATAAATACTGAAATTAATTTCCATGCTTCCATCATTATAGACTAGCTAAAATAAATAATTTATTTACAGTAAATGATTTCTATTCATTATAGACTAGCTAAAATAAATAATTTGTTTATAGTAAATGATTTCTACTCATTATAGACTAGCTAAAATAAATAATTTGTTTACAGTAAATAATTTCTATTTTAATTTCACTAAATTTTTTCATCAATTTTAAGTAAAAATTTTAAGTTCATATATTTATTTCGAATTAAAGATTAATGCAAAATGTTAAATAAACGAAATAAAGCAATTTATTTTACAAATAAATCAAAGAGAAAATAAAATAACTAAACGTTCAAATGAAAAGAAATGCAGTAATTTCGCTTTTAAATTTAATTGAATTTATTAATTTAATTTAAAAAAATTTGATAAAATTGAAAATGACTGACCCGATGATTTCCAGTATTGTTAATATTCCAATAAATTGTGAAAAAATAATTTTTCAATATAATAGTATCATTTAAATGTGGTATTTTCGGACTAAAAACAAAAGGAATTAATTTATAATTTTTTAGGAAATTATTTTATAGCAAAATTTTTTTGAGAAAAGAAATAATTCATAATTCATAATTCGCAATTTAATTCAATTCATAATAATTCATAATTTAATTCAAATCATAATTCGTAATTCACAGCAATTCATAATTTAATTCATTTCATAATTCATAATTTAATTTAGTTCATAATTCATAATTCATAATAATTCATAATTCATAATTTAATTAATTCATAATTCATAATTTAATTCATTTCATAATTCATAATTTAATTCAGTTCATAATTCATAATTCATAATTTAATTCATAATTTTTAGGAAATTATTTATAGCAAATTTTTTTCGAGATTATGTGATTATATGCTTTAAAAATATGACAATTACAATTATGTGTTTTAAAAGTTCAATTAATTTGAATAAATTATTAACGTTTGAAATAAATTTGTACCACACATCGTCACATAATGATATGAGAAGAAAGACTACATATATATATTTTTTTGAAAATTTCTAATAATTATACTATTAATTATACCTGAATATTTAATTTCTAATAATTATACCTGCAAATTTTTCTAATAAAATTAACAGATTTCGATGAAATTGTTGAATTAAATTGATTTTTATCCAATTGTACAATAACGATTTCTTGTGAAAATGGAATAAGCGGCACAAAAAATGATAACTAAAAAAATAAATTTTAATTTTAAAATTAATTAAATTAAATTTTCATTGTTTTATTGAATTAAAAATTATAGCAAAATTTAAAAATAAGATTTAAAATTTTAATTAATTTAATTGAGAAATATTTTATCAAATATAATTTTAACGCTTACTTCGAAAAGATTTGATTGATTCAATAATGGTACCAATTGTATTGTTAATGGTTTACCATTATGTGTTACAATAACAGAAGAAGAAGATATGTTTAATTTAATTAATTCCATTATTGGAAATGCTTTTTGATTTACAATTCGAATTTGGTAACTGTAAAATTAAAATTTTTTGAAAATGAATGAACTAATGAATACTGAATAGAAATTCCGGTTTTTTGTTGCTTTATTTTAATCATAACTCCTTTTAAATACTTCTATCACGTATGCTACGTAATTAGCAGAAAACGTAATTTGATAGAAAAAGGAATTTATAAAATCTTTCGAATGTATAGCGTGAGCATACGTAGTATTACGTATGTTACGTAATTGGTAGAAAAAGAATTTATAAAATCTTTCGAATGTATGGCGTGAGCATACGTATGTTACGTAATTGGTGAAATCGTAATTTGGTAGAAAAGGAAATTTATAAAATCTTTCGAATGTATGGCATGAGCATACGTAGTATTACTATGCTACGTAATTGGTAAAAACGTAATTTGATAGCAAAGGAAATTTATAAAATCTATGGAATATGTGGCCTGAGCATACGTAGTATTACGTATGTTACGTAATCGCCAAAAACGTAATTTGGTAGAAAAGGAAATGTATAAAATCTCTCGAATATATGTCGTGCATTAAAAATTTATGTAAACTGTTGTAATTCGTAAAAAAAATTTCCTACTGAAAAAAATTAATGAATCTAAAAGCAAACTTACCTTCTACCTTACGGTTACGACAATTGCGCCAATTTTTTTTTAATTTTTGAACTCTTTATATGAAAAATTATTTGTAAGTATATTGAAATACCTTTCGTTATCATCGGCAAAAGAAAGAATTCTGCGAGATAAATGCATTCCTTTTGTTTTCACCGAATCATAAATTAACTGAAATTTCAATTTCTTATTTTGAATGTTAAGAAATATACAAATTAAATCAGAAAATAATTATAGAAAAGAAGGATTGTAAATTTACCATTGTTGTAAAAGTATTATTGGAAATTTTTAGCAATCTTTCCTGTTCCTTCAATAATGTATGTAAAGCTGATCGTAATCTGTAACTTGAGCGTTTTCATTTTTTGTTTTTGTTAAATGTGTTAAATTGAATAGTGTCTCATTAATAGTAATAGAAATGTCTTAATTATTATTACTTCAATTATTTATCTCGATGACCGAAGATAATTGATGCAATGCCTTAATTAGTGAATGAATCATTTTCTTATATCATACCTTAACATGTAATCATTCATCACTCGACGTTTACTAGTACCCGTAATGGCATCATGATGTATACTAAGTGCCAAATTTCTTCGTGCCAATTCTACATCATTATTTGGATATTTTCCAGCTATCACATTTAGTAAATCCGTTAAACGAAATTCTCTCTTTAATTTAGAAATTAATTTAATTTACTGAAAATAATATTAAATTTAATTGAATTAATTTAATTTAATTAATATATCGAATTTGTTTAAATTGAATATATTCCGTTTCATTTTTCCGATTTAGCAAAAAAATGTAATATAAGAATTTAATATGTTGATTTAGGTAAAAATTGAAAATTTTATACTTGAATAATTCTTTCGAAACATTTAAAATATGCACGATGATTATAGAAGCCAGTCCAATATGGTTGACTACTCGATGGATCATCCATATATGGGAAAAAATCGCCATCAAGCACAGAAGCTGACCTTTTTGTACTTTCTTTTAGTGCATTGAAATAATTTGCCACCGTACCAAATTGCACCTTGAAACTTTTAACTAACTTTAAAACATCTACTAAACTAACTAGCAATATCTCTATCATAATTAATCAATAATTAAATTAATTAATAAATGTAGGCTATTGTATAATTTAGTTACTTTATCCTGATTGTTGATATTTCTGATAAATATCGATGCATTTAAATGATAAGCTATTTGAGGAAAAAATTTTAACATTTCAAAAAAATTAACTTTAATAATTAACCTTCATATTAAAGCGATCATAATTTCGATTGATATATTTGGCAAGTGCAGTATAAACATGATGAACAATTTCTAAATCATCAGGATGTGAATAGAGGAAATCATCACCAGCAGCTACTAATATCACTTCTGAATTATAGAATGTTTGCAACGAGCGATATTGATTTGCCATTCGTTCACCACTGCAAATTCCTATTTTAATTTCATTCAACTCTCGAGAATTCTCGAATTTTCCCTTTTCTGATTTAAATACAACTATTGATTGTATATGAAAAAGAAGAAGGATACAAAGAATAAATAACAAAATATACTATAAAGCAATTTTTTGAGAATTGTCAACTTGAGCACGTTCCGTACAGTATGATCGAGATGTCCTGGAAACATCGAACTGGCAACAAATTGATTCATCCGTTCCACATGCACTACTTACAGTGTAATATGTATTTGGCAATACGTTAACAAATGGTGCCCAACGAAGTTGCTATAATAATTTTGCAATAAATAAACCGAAAAAATGAAATATTCTCGAAATATCAAATAATAAATCATTTATGAGAAAATCAATAATTTATATTAATCATTAGCATAATATAAGATTTAATTCCATGCTTAAATTTTCTTTCATCTTACCTTTCCTTATTTTTTCGACTTTCCTCCTCTCTTATTATTCCGTTAAAGAATCATTAAAAAAAGAGCAAAATAATTCCTACCGGATCCCAATTTTGCGCCCAACGAAAGTGTAACTGATGATATCGCTTTAACACATTTTTGATATTTGAATTGATACGACCTATTACCATTTGGTTAATATCGGCTAACATCATTAGATATGGCATCATAAGTCCATGACCAAACGGATCCACTGACCTAACCTTATATTCTCTTATTTTCTATTTATTCCTTACAATGTTACATTTTTTCCTTTTCATTTAATTTTACATCATCAAAAATGTAGTAATCATTTTACCTTGTATTTTTGCTCGCTCTTTTTACAGCCAAATAAATGGAATAAATCAATATTGCTATGTTTTAGCATTATTCTGTCTCACAATATTACCATAAAATTCATTGTATCTGGCAAAAAAAAGCCTCCAAAAAGCCTTTTCCGGAATGCAATCATTGATTAAAATGATAATATTTGGCAAGCCTCTAAAATCTTTTCCGGAATCTAGCCATTGATCAGAATAATAATATTTGGCGATTAAAGCTTTTTTGAGATATCTTTAAAAGGATTAAATACCATGAAGTGGTTGGTGTAATATTTAACGTTTCCTTAATGTAACGATGTCCAACAATGATATTTTCAATAACTTCCCAAAAATACGGCGTTGCTTCATCATTCATCACCCATTGACCACCAGTAATTTCTAGGTGACCTTCATCTATTAAGCTAAAGAAGTAAATGATAAATTTAATCAATCTCGAATTAAAAATGATTATTTCAATCATTTGTTTTTTTGGAGTGATATTAAGCAAACCTTCTGAAATACTTTTGATAGGTTGCATTAGCTTCAGACCACCATTTTTCCAGGAATGATATATCGGACCAGATGAATCGTAACTTAGGATGCTTCCTCAATGAATTTACTACATTGTTTAAAATTTTTCGCACCTAAAATATATACAATTTAGAAAATTAAAATTATCAAAAATTAAACATTCTAATTTTTAAATTCAATTTCAATTGATCAGATGATTTTCATTTTGATTTGCTAAAACAATACAATTTTTGCAATTAACTTATTACAATTAACTTATTTGTTACTGGAATTTTTAAGTACCGAATGATTCGTTTCATTGTAATATTCATCGAATGTATATAACCAGCCGGGATCAACATGAGAATGCAAAACGATGAATACATCTAAATGTTTTGTAGAGTTCCGTTTATTTCTTGATAGCCGAATGCTATGCCCTTTGATCTGTTAACATTTTCAATAAATAACCAAATTTTACATTACATTTTAATATATCTTTTATTGCTCAGTTTTTCATATGCCTTCCGATTTTTAATGAATTTCTTTTAATTATTAAATTACTTTTTCATTGAAATATTTTTCATCGGGCAATTCAAATAGCCAATATTGCAAATATTTTTAATATGAAATATTTAAAATAATTATTTAATTCTTATCGCTTACTTTAATAGTAGCATTATTTAATCGCTGAAGTACAACACATCTGTTATTTTTCTTCTTCACTATTTCCACCCATTTTTCACTATCATTCATTTCTGTATACTGGAAATAGAATCATTCAAGAAAAATTTGATAAATCGATATTTTTCTCAATCAAAAATATTTTTCATTTAACTTCTAACCCGAAATAAAGTCTCATAAAAATTGATAAACAAAAATATTCGTCATTCTTTACAACAACTTTTGTTATCAGTATTTTTCTCTGTAAACAAAAATATTTTTCATTTTTTGCAATATTTTTGTTTGCTAATATTTTTCTCTATCAAAAATATCTTCATATAACCTCTAACCTTTAGTAATTGTAAATGATCAATTATAAATTCTCCAGTTAGAAATAGAATTATTGCTCCAAAAGTAATTAGTAAAAATATCACAAGTAATTTTAGCATTTTAGTAAAAAAGCACAGGTGATAATTAATTTAAAATTTGCTACAAATATATATCCAATAATTTTATCATTTCGATATAGCATACCTAAATTACAATAAATACAATTTTGATGTAAAAATAAAAACAAAAACAAAAAATAGCAATAATTCATTATTCTCAAATGACTGATAAAGATTATCACGTACAGATTGGATATCCATGATAGCATGGAATCATTTAGCAAATATCATTAAATTTACGAATTAATGATAATTTCAAAATTTAAGCACTTATTAATCATAATAAGCTTCGATTAATGCAAAAAAGCAAGAACTAAAAACAAAAAATAGCAATAATTCATTATTCTCAAATGGCCGATAACGATTATCACATACAGATTAGATATCGGTGATAATAAGAAATCATTTATCAAATATCATTAAATTTACGAATTAATTAATCAATTGTTAATCAGGAATAAGCTATTCATTGGTCAGTAGCAAAAAAATAAAAAACAAAAACAAAAAATAGCAATAATTCATTATTCTCAAATGACTGATAATGATTATCACATACAGATTAGATATCAGTGATAATAAGAAATCATTTATCAGATATCATTAAATTTACGAATTAATGAAATTCTCAAAAATTTAAGCAATTATTAATTAAACCGAATAAGCTAGCTAATCGTTCAATATTTTCAATTCTTTCTTCGAGCAGTAATAAATTTCAAAAATTTATTTTTTACTTTAACCACATGTGATACATTTTTATGAATATTTTAAAAGAGGAAAAAGAAAGAGAAAGGAAATAATGAGAGAATTCATTTTTGATTGATGTAAATATGGCTAAAGCATATTTATAAGTGAATGTTAAAGGTGGAGAGAAGGAAGAACCAAATGAATCATTATTTAAATTTAATTCAAATAATCCTATCAGCTGATTAACATAACAATAGATCATCCAATTTTGACAATCAAATTTGCTTTGTTTGATGGAAAATTTTTGCATTTCTATATCTACCAAATTTTTATACATATCAATTCATTTGATTACAATTCAATGATAATACCACTGTATTATCATACAATCAGATAAACATATAGAATTTGTAAACAATAATAAATATTTAAAGCATCAAAAAACAAACAATGACAAATATGTTCTCTTTGATACTTTTAACTATTAACTATAATTTTTAATTTGTTTATATACCTGGATACGACTGTCAGGATGGTATTTGTTATATTACTTAGTATTTTATATTTTGTTTACTTTTGAATATGCCTTATTTGTTTTTTACTTAATGAATTTTTTTGTTTGTTTATGAATTGTATATTTTTTGGAAGTTTATTTTTTATTAAGTTTGTGGTTTTTTGGTGCTTTATGTTTTTTATTAATTAATTAATTAATTAAGTTGCCAGCGTATTTTATTCATAAATGATTGTCTAAAGTCCATTTCGAGACATCTACTGGAAGTAATGTAGTTTTAGGCGGAATTATATTGAAGTTGGGAGGTGGGGCTCTCTCTACTGGATTATGAAGTCATTAAAGTTTTCTGATTTTGCATTTTTAATTTTCTTCTTTGATTAGGATATTTTCTTGTTGTTCTATTTGCACAATTCAGAGTGACCACAGAATGACCATTTGCAATTATCGATCCATTTTTGTTTAATTGCAAACGAATAGATAATTGTTAAGGCAAAATTTTAATCATTTAGATATGACAAGTGTTAATTAGAATAAATATAAACCTATTGTTTTAGAGAGTTAAATGAAAAAAAGCTTAGTTATTGATTTAAAATTTAATGCACTTTTCGGAATCACATTATAATGTTGAAATGATTAATTGATAAAAATGATAAAATAGAAATATGTTAGTTAGCAAAATGAAATGATATGGGAAATTGGTGAAATGATATGATTGAATAATTCTAACGATAATGAGTCGCAAAACGCTGATAAGAAGAGTTGTCAATAAATTATCAATAAAATGTTTCATAAATAAAGTGTCGGAAAGATGAAATTTTTGTAAAATTAGAATTGAAATATAAAAGTACACAAAATATTTGTTTGAGATTGAACGTGACGAAATCATTTAAACAAAAGGAATGAATGATGAAATGATTAATTGATAAAAATGATAAAATAGAAATATGTTAGTTTGCAAAATAAAATGACATGGAAATTAGTAAAATGATATGATCTACTTAATCTATATACTTAATATAATATACATATACATGATATGATATACATATACAATATGATATACATGATATATATGATATACTCAATCCATATACTTAATATATATGATATATATGATACATATATGATACTTAATCCATGTAATTAATATATATGGTATGCATGATATGATATACTTAATCCATATACTTAATCGATTAGGAATTAATTTCTAATATAAAATAAAATATACTTCTTTTGAAATATTCAATGATGAAGAACTGAAAAGAAAGAGCTCTACAAATCTTGCTCTATGTATATCATTACAAATTAATTATTAAATTAAAATGGTTAACAAAATTTTTGTAATAAATTTTTAACTGCAAGTATTTGAAAAAAAAACTGAAATTAATTTGACAACTTTAATTCTGGAGAAATTCAAAAAAGTCATCAAATATCGTATTATATATTATAGGAATGATAAATGATAAATTTATTATATATTATAGAAATGATAATGATAAAATGATAAAACTAATATATTTTTAATTTTTTTAAATGTATATACTTTAAAATGTTCATTATTATTGACAATAAATATGTTGATTATTCTTCAAAAATATTTATTCAGCTATGCAAATATCGTATAGATAGATCACTGATATGTATTTAGATTGGATTGATGATTTTTTGAACTTTAAAAATATTTCAATTGAAATTATTAACAGATGCATATTCAGTGAATATCATTATGCTAATTCAAGTTCAAATATATGCATTCCGAAATCTGTAAACAATGAGAAAAAGAAAAGAATACACTACGAGTTTTCAACGATTATGCATTTTTAGAATTGAGAATAAGTCGGCAAAATTAATTTGAAGAAGTTCAAATTTTGAGTAGTAATAAATTTTAACAAATAATTATTGAATAAGTAAAAATATTTTGAAAAAATAATTATTTGAATAAGTAATTATTAATAGAATAGGTAATTAATTAATATGTAATTATTGCAATATTGTGAATTACAATCATTAACAAATGTTTGTCTTTCATTAATCATTGAAACTTTTGATGAATCATAATCAGTAAATTTTGGTATTTCGAAATTAAACCTATAATGAAACAATATTGAAAATGAAAATAACTTTTCCAGTTTCGGACAAAAAATTCGAAATTGTAAAATTTCAAAATTCTGATTCGAAACATTTTTCATCATGATCTGTAAAAATGAATTGATTTTGCTGTAATAGACCAAAATTGATGAATGTAATTTTGCTATACATTTTCTTATTTCTTTAAATATTATTGTCAACTAATGAATAAGAGTAGTAAGTTACTGCATTGTTGAAGTTACTGCATTTATGTTACTGCATTTCTTTCAAAGTATTGTTTGCACATGTTGAATTGAATTGAATAAAGAACAATCATATCACATCAATTTGTTCATCAAATAAAAACACTATATTAGTTTGATAATTAAAGAAAGAAATTTATTTTAATTTAAAATTTGAATTTAAACTGAAAGTATTCTTTCTTACTTTCTGAACAACAAACATTTTTAGCAATTAAAATCGTTATAAAACCTATGATAGTTATTTCAAAAATTCAAAAAGGAAATTCCCTTTAATTTTAGTATTAAAATATGCATACAAGCACCATCGATCAATTTATTATCAATGTATCAGCAAATTATTAGTAATGTTTCTTTTAAACCAATTATCGTAGATGATAGGTAACAAATTGCGAGCTCAAACAATTTAAGCCAATACTACGATGGCTAAAATAAATGTAACCTACTACGATGGTTAAAATTATTGTAAAAAAATTGAAGAAGCTCTTCTCGGTTCTATCTCTGTTTGCTTTTTCTTTGTTGAAAATTCAAATGATAAAAGCAAATATTTCAATCCAATAGCAAATATTATCTTTGTGAAAGATATTGCCTATTCAAAATTATTTAATGATAACTTATCAATTATCAAATATATTAATTAAGTTGAAACATTATGTTACAACAATGTCAATTGAAGCAGTTTGAACATTATGTTACAACAATGTTGCAATTAACATTTAGCACTACAGAATATTACAATTTAAAAGTTGAATTGAAAATTAAAATGTTGTCGAATGTTCCACAATTCTATTATTGCCATCAAATTAATCGCACTACTCAAACTTAAACAAATCAAAATATCCTTACCTTTTTATTTTTTATTAATTCAAATTTTTAAATTTGCTTTTTAAATTTAGAATTTAGAAATGAATTCATTTTTTTGGTATGTTAATTATTGTCTTCATTTTTTTGAAAATTTTCAACAATTCTTCAGAAATAAAATAATCGATCACTTTATTACAATAGTTGAATTTGCTAAACCTCTACAAAGGGTTTAACATACTTTTACTGCAAAGGTTCTTACCTTTGCAGTAAAAGTTATTATTGCATAAATAATTGGTCCAATAATAAGAGTTATCTGATCGTAAAACTGAATCTCCTCAATGGTTCATCATCAATTAAAATCAACCAAATAAATTAGGTTTTAGGACTAGTAATTATCACTACGGAATTTAACAATTTAAAAATTGAATTGAAAATTAAGATGTCGAATATTGCATAAATCTACTACTACCAACAATCTAATCACACTACTCTAAAATACTAAAATTCAACAAATCAAAATATCCTTACATTTCATTTCTTATAATTCATAGACTTTAAAACCTAAAAATGAAATTAAAATTTAAGATGTCTAATACTGAGTAAAATTTAAACCAAATATGCTACTTTATTCTTTGCAGAACTTATCATCAAATATATTTTCGAGAGAAATGAGATCATAATAAATTAAATACTTTTGATCACAATAAATTACCTGAGTAAGAGTGAGTAGTGTATCGCCAAGCAAAAATTGTTAAAAGATTTTTTTAAATCTGAAAATACTTCAGACCTAGTAATAGATCATTTCTTTTCTAAATATTATAGGATATAATTAATTTAGATATATTTCATTATTCCTTTCTAAACTATAAAATAATATATATGTGCATAGTAAATATGGGAAGCATGAATAAAATCAAATTATAAAGAAAATCGGAATTTGTTTGAATTGCTTTTTTCAGCAATCATTTCCGTTTAAATATTAGAAGATTTATTGAGTGGTAGATATATCGAAAATGATATCATTAGCGAATAAGATTTCGTGTATTCATTGTGTTCATTCAACAGAATGGGAAAGTATTGTTACCAGTAGGCTGTTAGCTAAAACTAAAATTTAAATATATAAATAATCCAGGTGTAATAATAAAAAATATTTCTAAAAGTTCATCTCTCAATTGAAAATATTTTCCTTGGATAATTTTCAAATGAAGAAACTTAATATTCTATTATTAAATTATTAATCTATGCTAATAATATTTATCAAAATTGAAAAAAATATTATCATTTAATTGTAGAATTAAAATTTAATTAACAATTTAAAATTTTTAATTAGAACAATAGATAAATTTATCAGGAAATTCAAATCGCTCAATAAATTGATGAAAAAATCGATGAAAAATCGTTTACATGAAATATCGTCTTAGTTTTATTAGTGGTGAAAAGATGAAAATGTTTATTTATTCAACCTCTTCATGTTAACACATCTCTCCATAAAACTTTTTATCGATAAAATTCTTCTTTCAATCATACCTGAATAGTTGAAAAGAGTCAAATGAGAATTGGTGACAGAAAACGAAAATGCCTATTTGATTCTAAGTTCTAAGCTTAATATTCAATCACGTTGATACAGCGAAATATTCCCATTCATTTGTTTCATTCAAATTTTTTGATGTTATTATTAAAATGTGTTTGAGAGTGTAAATTATAGCGCGATTAAATGATTGAAGTTACGTCTCAGCACGCTTAGATGATTAAAGTTACGTCTCAGCACGCTTAAATGATTGAAGTTACGTCTCATACGTGTAACTTCAATCATTTAAGAAGCATCAAATGGACATTTTCATTCTCACATGTCAATTGCTTAAAAGTATTTTAAATGGAAAAATGAAAAGAAACGAATTATAATACATAAAAATAAAATTATTTCCATTATAATTAACACAAATGCTAATAAAGAAAAAGGAAAGACAGAAAACAGACATATGCAACAAAAGAGGTTTTACGATTAAGTGAACCTGATCACCTTTATTAAATTGTTAATGGAAAAGATAGGCAAAACTATGCGATAATTTATAACATAATAAATAAAACCATATATTTCAATTGCACGTCAACAATATAAATGATAAACAATTAGTCAGATCAATCGTTCATATCACTCTTGAATGATAAGAAATTAATGGAATTAAGAAAAGATATGTAATTTTATCAAATATAATATTACATTTATAATTATGCAAAGTATTAAAGTAAAATCAAATTTAGACTGCATTATCATTGTGATCCATAGGATTATATAATAAACTTATCTTTCTAAGGAACAACTTTGAAATGCATGGAATTATATTTTTTCTAAAAAAATCACAACATTTCACTTTTTTCCATTTTTCAATCGTTTATGAGATGGAGACCAAAATGAGAGAAATGGCCAACAAATTTCATAGAAAATCATCATTGCCACTGGAAATTATTCTTGCAAATTAAAATATGAATAAAAACAGTTTTAAAAAAAATCACAGGATTGGTGTAAATGAAACCATCGTGTCGGATTCGGTTGTTAGATGGAATAATAAAAATTGAGCTGCTGAACCTGAAATGATTGAAAATTAAATCCAACTATTAATGGAATATGAATTTAATATTTTCGACTTCAAATTAAGTTGTTGAAAATAGATTTAATTTACAAAAATATACCATTCTCATTCATTTGAATTGTTAAACTTCGTACAGCTTCCACCAATGTGCAATCTTTGGAAAGTTGTTCACGAACGGCTTCATCTTTGATAACAAACATCAAGAAATCAATGGTACTCTTCACAACATCCGCATCTTCACAACCCAATAATAAGTCCCAAATTTGATATGAACTGCTAAAATTCAAAGTAACTTATAAAATTTTAGAAAAGAGTAAAAAATGAAAAATTTTAATTATAAAAATTTTATAAATCTAAATTCTCCTATAGGATACCTATAATGCTTTGCTTGTGAAATGGAAAATATTGAAATTGAGCCAAAATTCAAATTCAAATTTATGCGTCATAAGACCAAATGAGTAAAAATTGTCTAATAAACAAACGATAATTTGAAAACGTAATTATAAATCAAAAAAAAAATTCTGCAAATAGAATAGGAATCTTCCTATCATTAAATAATCATTGCTTTTGCGATTGTTTGTAATTACTTAATTAAGAAGATACAGTGAACATACCATGAGTATCGAATAGCATTGCCGAAGTTAGTGTTACAATTTGATAGAGAGATCAGTAAACCGTAAGCTTTTTGAATTATTGATTTCTTTTGATGATTTCCTTTCTCATCATTCTATAAGTGAGATTCAGTTTTAAAATTATATAACCAATTTTTTTATCGAACAGACTTGAATAACATAAAGATGGCTGTGGAATAAATATATGCCTCGGATATTATTAAATAAATCAAAGCGAGAAATATTATCAAAGTACTAAATCATCATATAGAAAGATATTACAAGATACAATTTTCAATATTCTGTCTCATAATTCACTGATATGGGTAAAAAAATCATACTTCAATAGTATTTGCAGTTGTAGCGATAATTTCGAATAAGACTTCGGTTAAGGAATTATTATCAACACTGATATTAAACAGTATCGGAGGATGATTCAATTGATCTGCATCTACCAATCGTGCGAACAGCTAAAAATTTTAGCCTTTTTTTACATGGAGCTAATAATCCCTATCTCTCCAATACATTGGTGATATCGATAAGAATGATAATTTTATCATAGGAATAATATTGAAATGTTTGCAAATAAATGAGGGAAGCATTTCTATTGTTTTAATCATATATACAAAAAATGATAAACGATAATTGAATGTTATGTTGGTAAAAGATATTCATATATATTGGTGATATAAACTTACGCTCATTACGTGTAAACGTGAACTAAGATCAACGGGATGAGCAAGTTCGTGCAGAAGTAAACTTGGAGCTCCTTCAAATGTTATCAACTGAAATATCATCAGACCTTGACTGTGTATTTAACTTTAGACTATTAATTATTAATCTGTTCTGAACTAAGATTTAGTTATATGTGTGTCTATCTAACCGTCTACCGTAAGTACTTAATTTTTTTTAGATTTTTCTCAATTTTTCGCAGAATTTTGTCAGGTGCAAATGTTTGAAAATGAATTTTCATTGAAGGAATTTAATTCAATTGGTGAAAATTGATACTTACTCGTTTTCTGACACTAATATTACGTTCCGGTGAAGAACAACCACCCGTAAAAACATGTAGTGACCACAGCATTGAAGAAATTAAATTTTTTACCACAGTTTCATCACGTCTTTTGTAATATGCTTGCAATAAATTGATCGTTCCTTCAATAATACCACAATCAGCGATGAAGTCCTGAAATTGAAATAGAAAAAAACTTCATAATTATTTGAAAAGTTTTGTAAAAAATTCATATTTTCATATAATTTACTACCCGCAGACAAGTTTCTTCGGAAATTACTGATTTCAATACCCTTAAGAGACACAAATACCTTGTTAGCATTGGAGCTACCATCGCATGTTGCAGATATATTCCCGAGAAAATCGAATCCAACATGTAAGAAGTAGGGATTATTACGAAAAACACCCATCATGCTGAGCGTTCGACTAATCGTTTCGCGTAAATCTGCATTTCTCACACCGTCTACATCGCTAACTACACGTAAACAAAGCATTACATCAAGAGCAACACGTTCGGAGCAATTTGGATTTGCCAAAAGATATGATATTGTCTGAAATATTAAAATTATCACTGAATAGAACTAAAGCCGAAAATTTTCCGTTTACATCAAATTATTTGTTAATTTAAGAGCGTATAAAAATTTATTCCCTTTTACAATTTATTTGTGGATGTCAATTATATTAATGCTCTGAATAATGAGCAGTTATCATTAGGTGTACCCAGATTATCAAATTTGCTCGTTATCACCAAAACTATTCAAGAATTGGTGCATATGCCTACTTCCTGCTCCTTCCTTATTTTAATAAAATGCCTACCTTGACTCCATCAAGGTGAACAAATTTCTTAGCGTACGAAAGATCAGTTGAGCAAACCATAGCAAAAATAGCCCGAACTATCCTGTACACTACTGATTCATTCCCCTCTTTCTTCAGTAGTCGTAGTAAGAGTTGAATGCCACCTTTTGATTCGAATGATTGCTGTAATTTTATCATTTTTTCCCCTATTAATTTTAATTTATAAATAAAAAGTCGAAATATTTCTGTTTCATTAAATTATATGAAAAAAGATATAAGATGATAAAAGAGATTGATTTCTTAATGATACCATAAAGATATCAAATTATTTCTTTAAATAAATTCAGTTATCGATAGCCTCAATGAAAAGCCAATGAAAATATTCACTCTTCATCACATCGGATACTATTTAATTGATTGGTTTAATTGCGAAATTAGCGTTACATACATTATAATTAATAATTATTCAGGTATAAACTGTTAAAAGTACTAACCCTCCATGTATCGCTACCATTAAAAACACGTCGAACAAGATCAAAAACGTATTGTTTCGACTTATAGGTATTAATGAAGTATTGATCACCCTTTTCATCCATTTCTTTCATTACGCGTGTAGTACGAGAGAGGATCTTAAATACAGTGAAAATAATTGAAAGAAAAATGAGTACAATCAAGTAAATCTCGATTAAAGCTAATGAAGTATTGAAGTATAAGCAATTAGAAAATATTTTATATGAATAGATTTGCATAAATGAATAAAGCTAGTATAAGCAGCTAAAAAAATCAGTAAATAAAATTTACTTGTTCTTTAATATCTTTGCCATATCGATGCCGTTCCACCATTCCCACCAATGAATGAACGATATTTAGAGCATATTTACAAGATTTTTGTATCGGACTGAAAATTTTCTGTCAAATAAATAAATATGTTCAGTAAATAGTAATATTTAATCAATTTTATAGCGAAGTATAAATAAATAAAAACAGAAAATTTCAATTAGTAATGTTTGATAATATCATTGTTATCAATCATAACAGGATGATTCGGAAGTATAAATTAACAATGAGAAATATTAATAAAGAGTTCACCACCAAAAAAAGTGAAACATTTAGAGGTAGTAAATAATTTAATTAATGCAAGATCTAATTAATCATATTAACTACAGCAAAAACAAAAAAGCAATAAACAATTATTTTTTATATTAAGTTTTAAATAATTGCGAAAAAATGAGAAAAACTAACTCCATCCATCGTACAAATGTTTCGAGCAATTCGTCCGGATAATGTGCCATCCACTTAAAACAGCAAATTTTTCGAGATGCAATTTATAAAATTTATCAAAATTTTTTCTACTTAAATTTGTATCAAACTATATGCAACCGTTTCCGACAATTATTTAAAAAAGAAACTTGATAAAACTTTCGAAGTTTAAACAATTTCCTGCAAATAACTTTTATAGCAACTTTCATAAAGTATTTATATTTAAAATAAAAATGAATTCACCCTTGACATGATTTGTTTCGTTTTACCATCAGCAGAGAATCGTGTCATTATCCGTAAAACTGTTTCTACTATCTGAAATCAATGGCTTAAGTTTGATTCGATCGACATGAATTCTTTAATAAATGAAAATTAAATATTTCAATGCTAAGAAATCTTACTGAAAGATCCACTGGATTTGTAAGTCACCAAAACAGGAAGTATATCAGTTTTTGAGATTACTAATCGTTGGTAAAAAAACCAAAATTTCGAAATTTGAAAAAATTTTTTAAAAAGCAAATCTTAAAAAGTGAAAATGAGGGAAAAGCTAACATCATCTTCGGTATCATTTTGTCTTAACCATCGCTGTATCAAAGTTTTCATCATTTTTTCCAACTTATCAACATCAGCTCGTTCAAAATCATTCCTTGTTGCCATCATAAATACGGCGCGCACCATTTCTTGTGCTACTTTCTAAACAAATCTCATTATTAAAATTAATATTTCCCATATAGGAAATCAAAAATAAAAGCTGGAGATAACTCGGAACCCATTCATATATATTCTAGGTTTGATAATAATGAGAACTAAAACTGCAAGCGAAGAATTTCGCTAATTCCAGACTTAATGACCAAACTGATCAAAATGATATGGAAAGATTCAAAATCTGTTACTTTTCTAAAGGTGAAAATTTCACCATAGCTACTTTAACAATTGTTTATTCTGTTAATAATTAATAATTATAACATTATTTAAATAAGTTTTTTCTTTTTCGCCGAAACAAAATGGTACGCTTAGACAGCTTAAACGGATACAAACGTGATAGGTCGAAATAGTCAAGAAATTTGATTGAATCCAATGAATATATACCTTATCATTATTATTCACATGAGCAGTTATTTTTTCGATATATTTGTTGACAGTTTCGATAAATTTAATATGATCTGGTCCCATATTTTCAATGCAGGAGGATGAGGACGATGGCGCTGATGTATGCATTTGAGCCCTCTAAAACAAAAATAAATGCATGTTCAATATTAAGCAAATTTGGCGTTTATTTGCTTGTTAACAATGACACCATAATTAGATGGATTAATTAAGCAAATAAATAATTACGGTCATTCATAAGTTGCAATAAAAAAATTATTTTCATACGATTAATTTCATAAATGGAAATATTTTCAAATCTAAGCTATCAATTTTACACCTTTCAAAATTTACTCACCAAATCAGCCAGTTGTATAAGTTCGGTAATTTGTGTGTTGACACTTAGCATACTCATATCTTCCGTTGCGCTACTTACATGACTCATACGAGACATTGACATTATTGATGATGGCTAAAAGAAAAATTAACATATTTTAAATAAATGTATGAGTAAATTTTGCGCATATTGCGCACTTTTTTTCTCCAATAGGAAAAATTATTGCAAGAGTTATAAGAGCGATAATTATACCGCTGATCCGGTCCTAAACTGTTGTTGTTGTTGTTGAGGATAGCTGATAAAGCGATGATCGTTCATCCAAGCTTGAGTATTCATTATCTTCCGATTGTCAACCGTTGATATCATTCGTTCCGGATATTGTGACTGTGGTAATGGCTGTGATTGCTGCTGTGGCTCACATTTTATTTGGTTTCTCATTGGACTATTTGATGTTGATACCGTTGGATACGGTACACTAAACCGCAAGAAATTTTTAAATACTAAAACCAAAAAGATTTCATAGAAGATTTCTAAAATATTTAGACTAAATTAGTAATTGAATTGAAAAGAATTTCATTCTTACTTTCTTGTGATTTTTGTAAAGAAAGAAAAACTATTCCAACTTTCCAAGATAATTTAAAAAGTTTCATTTCTAATATTACTTTGCATATTAGAGCATAAAATTAATTAAAATATGCCACTATTACCGAGGTGCAGGATAATGTGGCAATGATGAATCGTAGTAACCCGCTGCTGGATGATGAGGTTGCGGAATGTTTGGCAGTGAAGATTGTTCATATGATGTTGTGGGTATTTGTGGATCATATAGTGTTGGAAGTTGTTGTTGTTGTTGTTGCTGATGATGCTGATCTATTGAATAAGCTTCCTGACATGAAATATCCATGTCAAATTTCTAGGTAAGAAATCTGTAAATTTTTAATGATTTTTTTTTTGAAGTCATTCATTTCTCAAGTAACAACTAACGTAAATAAAATTTAACGTGAAATTAAGTTTGATTTAAAATAGTTTACGTGAAATTTGACACATGTTAAGTAGACGTTATTTACGTGAAACTTAACATATGTTAAGTAGATGTTATTTACGTGAAATTTGACATATGTTAAGTAGACATTACAGAGAGAAAAAAAATGCTACTCGTAGGTTTGAAATATCTAATGAGCCTATCCATTTGATAAATTGTGATGACAGCTGTTTTCTGTTTTCTTTTTTACTTTGCTTTATTTGCACAAAAAAAAAGGGTCGTTTATTTTTTCATCAATTGAGAAAATTCAACAACAACAAAGAAAAAATTGTCATTTCAAATTTAAAAAAGTTTAAAAATTTTGGAATGGCTCATTTCCTGTCCATTTGTATGCCTAACCAATCGAAATGACAAATGAGATCATTCATTTATGGGATTTTTTTCTCACCGTTACACAACTCATCTGACCTTTCCGCCTCTTCATAAACTATCCATATTGCTCTTCCTCTCTCTCTCTCTCTCTCTCTCTCCCTTACAACTCCGATCGTTTCCTTCTTTTGCCCTCATTGGTAGAAAATTAAGTCTAGAACAATGGTAATTATTTTTCATTTCATTTCAACTTCAAAAATCAACAAATGTTACCACAAAGATAGCATATTACTTTCCCTCTGATACATACAAATAAACATATAATGATATGTGGAAATTTTCAAAAATCAGAATATCGTATATCCGGTAAAGCTTTTTTGTTTGCAATAAAATTGCATACCGGATATGATTGAATAATTCAGGAAACGCAAAAAAAGGAAACTGAATTGTTTTCGATTAATTTTCATCATATTGCTTAAGTAATCCTATTATAATTATATATGCATAAACGGACCTGATTTATAATACCCGAATACGGCTGGATCAAATCTCAGATAAAATTTTCTCTTATCAATTATTGAACAATTTCCCGTTAACCGGATAAGATGATCATCATCGACAGTTTAATATCAGCAACAGCAACGAATGATATCCATAGTAGTAAAAAATATCATATTGAATTGTTTCAAATTTTCCATACAAATTTATTATCATTTATCAATATCAATAACTATCCTATCATGATCAATTCTCGAAAGAAAATATAACATAAAATGATCACACTTCATCATATAACGTTTTAGGATTCCGAAATAAAGCGTATATTCACGTAACGTAAAAAATACTTATCTAACGTATTTTTCACTTACGTTACACGTGCCTAACGTACGTGTAATATAAGTGGCAAATTTTTAGAGAGAAACAATTTATAAAGAATAAACAAATCTGATTTGGACTGTAGTAATTTAGAGAGAAAAAAAACATTTATTCAATATTTATTAAATCAACAAAAATTATGCAAATTTCCGAAAACGGAAAAAAAAAAGGAAAGCTATAAACAGTAACGGATTGTATTGTAAAAATATTGCCTAACGAAAAACCGGAATTAGACTGAAGAATGTATTTGCTTACCCATTCCATTCCAATCATTCGTTCACATTTTCAAATTTGAATTTATGCCCGGTTTATTTTAAATGTTATAGAGATGAGAAAGGAAGAAAGAGGAAGAGAGAGAGAGAGAGGGAAAGAAGATGAAAAGAAATTATGAATAGAAGAAGAAATTGAATGGGAGGAGATAAGAGTGAAAGAAAGAGATGAGAAAGGAAGAGTTTAATAAGAGAAGAGAGGTTATTTCTGGCATGAAAGGATTGAAGAGGAAGAGGAGGTAAGAAGAAGGGTCGAACCTCAAATTAACCGCCAAAAATTGAGGAAGAAAATAGGAAATGGGGGAGGAAGTGGAAGGACCGGCCGAGGAAGGGAATATGCCACCTGTCGTCAATTCATCAATATAAATATATTTCATATATAACATAATAGATGGATAGATAAATAGGATAGATAACTCTAATTACTTATAATACATAGATTTCTATTCTTAATAATTAATAATTAATAATTAATTATATCATTTATGCATGCATACAATACATGCATGCATGATATATAGGTAATAGGTGAAATTTGAAAAGAATTAGTTTAAATTTCAACGGATAAATTTGGATGAGAATCATAACTCTAATTACTTATAATACATAGATTTCTATTCTTAATAATATTTAATAATTAATTATATCATGTATGCATGCATACAATACATGCATGCATACATGCATGCACGATATATAGGTAATAGGTGAAATTTGAAAAGAGTTCGTTTTAATTTCAACGGATAAATTTGGATGAGAACCGTAAAATGAATATGAAATAATATAAAGGGTAATTGTTATAAATTATAATAATTTGAATTTCAAATTATTATTGGTTGTAAAGAAATTCTGAAATTCGATATTATTATTATTATTAGTTGTATTCCTAAATTTGGTATTAATTTTCAAGAGTCTTTAATCTATTTAATTATAAAATTGGATAGATATAGTGATAAGCTTTAAAATTTTATCATATCATATAAGCTTATTAAATTTCATGTAAAAGATAAATATTTGATGGAATTCAATATTAGAGCAAATGATGATCGATTGACTAATTGAATGATTGACTTATTGATTGATTGATTGATTGATTGGGAACTTCCTGCTATTTATTTAAACAAAAATTTTCATAATAAATTATATATATACATATCAAGTAAATTGAAAAAGTAAAATACAAAAGTTTGAGAGTGTTGAGTAGCCATTCATATGAAATTAAAAATGAGGTCATTTTAGTGGACAATGAAATTGATCTTGGATAGATTAACTAATATGTTTTGAAATTGCTTGAATAGATTAACTAATATATTTTGAAATTGCTTGAATAGATTAACTAATATATTTTGCATATTTATGTTATTAGAGTGTATAAATGAAAAATTGAAGATAAAACAAATAAGTGTAAGAGATTTGTTTTTTCGTTTAAATTTAATATCATTCAATATTTCATTGATCGTATAATTTAATCCTATCAATTCAAAAGTTACACCAAAACTTTCCCACATCAATTTTATTCATACATATATATCTATCTATCTATACGTATAGTTAAGTGAGTTATATTCGCTATTGGTTTTAATTGAATTTTCGCTCTTGTTGTAAAAGTTGTGTTGAAAATTACGACAATAATAATATATGAAATATGCAAATTTCAATTGAAATATTTAATCTTTCCCGAATTAATAATAATGGAAAATTTGATGAATTGAATTTATTTTTGTAAAGTAGTAAAAATGTGGAAAAGAAGGAAGAATAGGTAGGACGATAAAAATAATGATCCAATGTAGCTGTTGCTTTGCTACACAACCATAATGAAATAGGGACATCTATGACATAGGACATGGTCATTAGATTGAGGTGTTACTGTGGTTTTGGAAGATCAGAAAGATCGGTTGAAATCATAAGGGCAAAAGAGAGAGAGAGAGAGAAAGAAAGAGAAAGAAATAGAGAAGGGAGAAAACGATAAAATGGACAGCTAAAGGGGTCGAAGGTTAAAAAGCTCAACCTATGATCATTATTATCCCTTTTTTCCTTCCCTTCATAACACACATTAAAATACATTATCCCTGCAATACAAGAAATATATAAATCATAAGCAATATTTTTGTTGTTATTCATAAATGATTTAATTGTCTTGCAATGAAGTAATAAATGATAGCAGAAAATTTAGGATGACTAATTGGTATGACCCGAAATTGCAATAAAGATTAATTGTAATAGATTCAGAATTAAAAACTTATTTCTATCAAAAATTGGAAAGAGCATAAAGTTGAATATGTGATTCAGTAATGCGTAAAATTGTGAAAAAATTTGTTACTCGAACATTAAAAAATTAATGAATTAATTAATACAGATACACATATATAATATATTGATATAGTTCCTTTAAAATATTGAGAGAGAAGAAAAATAAGATGAACGAAGAATTTCTGATAAGTAACAATTCTTTTCACTGATAAGTTCTATTTAATTTCTGATAAGTCTTGTTCGAATTTTTTTAATGTTATCATCGTTTTTCTCCTTTTCTTTATAATCAAAATTTTTCAAATATCTTCAAAGTTTATTATTAAAGTTTTAAATTTATATGAGTTAGCGATATATGCAAGTTCGTTAGTGAAAGGTCACTCATTCATCTATGATAGTTGTGAAATCAATGGCGGAATGATTTACAAGTTACAAGTAAGTCACAACTTCTTTCAACAAATTGGAATATGAGTGACCTCACTTATACGATAAGATTATAAAAAAGGAATCAGGAAATTTTGTTTGAAATTTGATGATTGAACCTACACAGACATGTGCACACACACAAACACACACACACACACATACGTATATACACATACATATATATATATACAGAAAGTGAAGTTGCTCCGTCTCAATTTTCAACTATTTGATATTTATGCCCAATATTTCTACCTCATTTCCTGGTGTTATCTCAAATTTCGTCGTTTAATTTGATATATTTCTGTACTCTTGCTTACCAACTATGTAATGTCTCAATTTTGTTCTGATTTAATTTTGATTTTAATTTTAGATTTTGTTTTAATTTTTATTCTTCATCAATTCACTGCTAATTAAAATTACTTTTATTCAAAAATGAATCGGGAAATTTACGAGAGGAAAAATTGAACACATTCGAGAAGGACCGATAGATATTTGTAGAAACCATTTTATTTGTACTGAAAAGAATTCAATACAGTTCCGTGAAGGAAAAACTAGCGAACAACTTGATATATCGCACCTGCTGTTCAAACCACTCCGTGATAAATCCTTAAATCAAATCAAAGTAAATCCTCAAATCAGCTTATCGATTCTTCTATTAATGCCTACAGCATGTTGCCATGCTAATTTCGGCAAGAATCCTAAGACGTTTGAACTTATCAGTTCATACCAGAGATCGATCATTCATCACATGATATAAGCGTATTGTTTAAAGAGTAGAGGAAGACAGCGAGAATGGAAAGGGGCACAGAAGGCATCACAAATTATAGGCATTCCAACTTTCTGGATTTTGAAGATGCGTGTAATTTTAGTGTTTTAGTTCTAGTCAGACACTCAGAAAATCAGGAACTATTTCCGCGAAGAAGACCAAACTTCACCTAAAAGTACACTACACATCATTTTGAATCTTCAAGATCAAATATGATGAACTATTGGTTCTGACGCATTGCAAGGCAAATAATAAAACAGGCTTTTAAGCGAGTGATAGCGTATTACATGAGTGTGTAACCATATATGAGATAACATACATGAGAGAAGCATATGATAAAACACGTCATAAGCGAGATACTATACAACTAAAACTTAATAATCACTCCGTTATAGCCAAAACGAAAGAATTTTTGCTGGGAAGAAAACTCGGATATTACCACAAGAAAAACCAAAATTTATTTTTCTAGTAGATGTTCACAAGCGAACAATCCTGAAAGCCCAAGTGCACAGTTCATGATTTAGAAAGCTATAAATTTGTTAAATGTGGTAAAAAGCCCGAAAACTAATTAGAAACAAGAGCATATTAAAAAGAAATAACACTTCAATTACTTTGAAAACATAATAGCTGCAATGGCAGCAAAATGGTGAGCAAAATTACCGGTACACTTGGAAAATGAACAGAAAAGAGACTCACGAGCAAAAACAAGGGAAACAAAATAGCATTTATGGAATGATTAATAACCTTCAAACTTTTATAAACTTATACAATAAAGATCACTGGAGTGAAGAGTAAGAGTGGAAGGTCAAAGAAAAGATGAAAAATCATTTAAATTGAAAGAAAATTTCGAATATTGTGTTGAAATTTTCTAGATCAAATATAATTATCTACCAAAAAATCTTGTAAGAACATCAACTTCCCGTATTTCACGCACCCAATGCTACTTAATCCAAAATACCCCACTTTTGTTAAATACATCTAAGTAATAAATGAAGCTATTACAGCGCCCGACGTTCACTCATTCATCGTTTAAATTGCTCTCACTGTTCGGTAAATATTCGAATGAGCTATTTCGACGAGAACTCTCGCTCAGTTCATCCATACTTGTTCTCCTGGAACTAGTAATTTATTCTTCCACAAAGGAAGGTATAATCAAATGCAATCACATATGCTACTAGAAAAACTAAGAAATTCATTTTTTTAATCATATAATCTCATTCACTTTTTATTAGAGATCGTATTTTATTTATAAGTCTCTGAAATTCGAAATCAACCTCGAGTAGTAGAATTCAACATCGCTTTCTTCCAAAGCATTTCTCTGCGCTTCTTTTTGAACACTAGCTTTCACGGCGGCTTCCATTAACTTTTCATAATCATCATTTACTGAACCGCAGCCCTATAAAAATCTGTAAAGGTTTATCAATTCCTTAAAGATACATTTAAATTTCAAGTCTTAAATGGAATGATATGCAGTGGAAAAATTATATATGAAAAGATGTGAAATCAACCAGGATCCACGGATACTCCAGGATTTGTGAAGCCGAAAATCGTTCCTCAACGTCCAGTTGCAATAGTCCCTGTATAAGACCTTTAGCAGAATATGAAATTTTATCCCAAATAGGTGGCGGAAATGAGAAACGTCCACTTAAAATTTGTTCGAACAATTGTTCCTGACTACCACTGGCACTGAAATACTTAACTCCTGATAACTACGATCAGGATAAATTTTTAAGAAAAAAAAATAAATTGTCGCAATTATTTAAACATACTGTTTAAAATCCGATGCATTTAAAGAAATTTGTATATTATTTTAATTAAAATAGATGTATAAGTAATGATCATTTCCAAATCACATTATTAGCAATGCATACTTGAAAAAATCTGTAAACATTGCCCCGTCCGCTATATCATTATGCTGAAATTTCACAGCTTACCTTTGAAAAGGTGGAAAACCACATAAAAGCACATAAAGGATGACGCCTGCAGCCCACAGATCTACTTTATGATCATATCCAAGCTCTGCAAGGACCTAAAAATGAAAATAATTAATAACCTATCCCAAAACAATCTTGGCTTTTTTAAAACAAGTTAATTAAAAATTAGACCTCTTACTTGTCTTCTTCCCTACTTTAACATGAAGCATGTCAAAATAATGGTAATTTTACTTCAGGTGCAACGTAGGTTGGTGTACCACAAATCACTCTCAATGGCTCGTCATTGTTCATTTCCACAGCCAAACCAAAATCGGCTAACTTCAATCGCAAGTCTCCCGTGAAAGGACAAATATAAACCTTGAGAATGGAAGCAAAGATATAAAAGTGAAAACATTTTTGAGAAATAAAGGAACTAATTCGAAAGATATCTTTGAAATGAAACACTTTGAAAAACCAATTTTTTTTCTTTTCCGTTACCATACCTAACAAAAGCTTGTCGGCTCAATTTCCAATAATAATTCACTTAAAATATGGAAACAACACATCTTCAACTTACCAGCAAATTTTCAGGCTTAACATCACGATGGACTATATTTAAATTGTGCAAATAATCAAGTGCAGATGCCAAACAATTTATGAGCCCTGCAGCAGATCGCTCAGTGACATGACGAACTTGACAAAGATATTCGAATAAATCACCATCCTAAAAAAAACTTCAACTATCACCTATTACCTATTTGAGAATCAATGCATCTTTGTTCAACGAGTCCAACATTTATGAAGAAATTGTTAAAAGGCGCGATTTAAGAAAAAAAGGGAAAGAAAAGCAATAGTTACCGTAATAAGCTCTAAAGATAAATAAAATGATCCTTCAAATTCCCAACAATTGTGCATTTGTACGATAAACTCATGCGAAATTTTTCGCATTATGGAAATTTCCGACTTAATCAACTCTTCCTTTCCGATAACGTTCTCGTGGCTAATTACTTTCAGTGCTTTTCTTTCTCGAGTTCTCCTGAAAATATCGATAAATAGGATTAAACCACGTGAAACAAGTCGGTAACAGGGATAAACACAAGAAGTAATCTGTAGAAGATAAACTCATAAGAACTGAAACCAGAAATGCATAAATTACTTTTACAACTTCTTACTATCAATGTGCTATTTTTGACGCAGAAACGACACAGAAAAAGAACTTTGAGAAGTTATGCAAAGAAAAAGTATTGGAAATATGAGTGTATGTTCAATTATCAGGCTTAATTTCACGTTTTCGAGATGGTGAGGAAGAAAATTCTTTGTTTACAAATTTCTATAGTAACTAGTAAAATACGACAACTGAAATGAATAAAAAAGCTACAAAAACTAAGATAAGAAAAATAAGAACAGAAAAACTCATACTTGCACATCGTTTCATAAACCAAAGCTGTATTACCATCACCGATTAACCGAACCAAATACATAACATTATCAAGAGCTAAAGGCAGATGTCGACCTGGAAACCGATCAATTTTACAACTTTCTGAAATTAAATTATTATATTTCGGAAAGATTAAGACATACTCATTTCGGAATCAGGAACCACACTTCCAGCACGATCTTCTCGTAGGGTTTCATTCCTTGCTGGCATTCTCCTCCGCGGTGGTTTACCGCGAGGTGTACGAGATCGTAAACTATAAAGCCTTTTCGATTCTGAAAAAGAAGCTGGAGTATTCTTTCAACAGAAAAGATTATTTTGTAAAATATCATAAACAAAGCTATGTTGTGACAGCCAAGAATCACGAAAATTGTATGTAAAAATAACCGCGAAGAAATGGTCAATTTATTCAAAAAAAAGAAATCCTATCTTCTATCTTCCACCATAAAAAGATGAAAAGATGTAGTCAAATCTCACCTTCCGAAACAACGTAGAAGTCATCAACACTCATTTTTTCTTTTCCATATGCAATAAACACATCGTCTTCACCAAAAAAGTCTGCCAAACAAGTGACCTAAATATATCATTATTACAACATCAACCACTTTCAGTAACAAAATTTTACGAGCTCAAAAAAATTCCCCAATATCACTTCACAAATCCACCCTAAAATTAGCTAAGGAGTGCTAATTTACACCTGTACTCTTTTTCTATCTCGTTTATCTTTCTAGGAAGACATCGTATTATCTTTCTAGATGAACAGAAATTAATCGGAAGACATGCAAGATGAATATTAAGTGATTTTAAAGTATAAATTCAAAATTCTGCTTTCACAGAAATTTGCGTATATACTAGGCACTTGCAATATACGTATGAAATAATAAAATTAATTCATTAGGTATTAACTTCTTTGCCATTAAGTGCATATAACTTTCGAACTGCGCCACTGTCAAGCTTAACCACAGCTGTTATATCCTGGATCACCTATAAATTCACATCGTTTTGAATTTTTCCAAATTTTTACAAAAGCTTAATTCATATAAATTTCACACACTTTAATGAGGACATTTTAAAAAAGAAAGAAAAACAGCGGAAAAAAGAACAACCAACTTGAAGAAAAGATCTTGCAGTCCGCTTATTCAATAAATGACGAACAACACGGCGTGGTTTAACACCATTCCTAATAACAGTGATAATTCTTGGATAAACAAAATCATTTGGTTCCTGAAATATTATCAGCATGTTTATGGAGTTTGCAAAGACATCAAGCAAATATCCAGGAAACACAAATGTCATCGACTTAAATATCAAAGAAAAACAAGGACAACGATAAATAAACCTGCTTCAATGGTGAATTCACCATCAAGGGTGTTGGAGAGGAACCGGCCAACGATATACGCCAAGTTGGTTCGCGAGCATTCTCGTAGTCAACCCGTTTGTATAACTCCGAACTCAAATTGAAAAAGTAAAACAGCATTAAAGTGAAAAAAAAAGAAAACTATTGCAGCAAATGATTGATTTGAAGTGATATAATCAATTCTGAAATTCTTTGATTTTGATTTCTGAAACTTAGAAAAATAAAGGGATTAGTAAGTAAAACGTATTCATGAGTTACCCACCTTGAGCAAACATAACCTTCGCCATCTTCAAATTCTTCCAATGAAGACAATTTATGAGAACCATCAAGAGAGAAGATGTAACGAACACCATGTGGCAAATTGATAGCGTCAGTTAATGTTCTCGTCAGGTCACCCAAAAGAGCCTGGAAAGACCGCACTCTTTCCACCGATATTGCATACCACATGCCCTGTAACATCACAAATTATTTTAAGTGATAATAAGATAAAAGACAACCCAATGATCTCAAACTTGAAAAAAGTGATAGAAAGATCTCATAGTATGATAAGGAGAGAAAAGAAAGGGAAGAATGATTCTAATCCTTATATCACTTTTTCAAAAATACTTTCAGAGTATTTTACTCGCTTTGTAGCCCAGCATTAATTAGAAATAAAAATGCTCACACCTCATTCATTAGGTTTTTTTCTTTACAAGTTTGCTTGTGGTTGCAGCAACAACTTTTACAGTGAGAATGAATAAATTACCTTGAAATACTGATCACCATTACGATAAAACCGAACACGTCTGGCTTTACTGCCAGGAAAGCAGCGGAAGGGCATTGGCGTCATTGGATTGTGTGAGGTTGTGGAAGTAGATTGATGCCTAGTAGATGTAACCGAAGGAGGAACATCCGATGTTGAGGTACCTGAAAGCAATATCATATTTCATCATTTTGTTGTTTAACAAGTAAGTTTTAAAAACAATTTAAATTTCGAAATTCAACCTAGTTGCGAGTTTATTTTTAAAGCTTTCAAGAAAATCAAAAAACAGGACACTAGAAAATAAAAGTTCTGAAATGCGATATTTCGGTAATCGAGAATATTTAATCTCCACTACAAACGAAGTTAGTCTATATGAAAACTAAAACTATTAGGAAAACAGCAGTTTGAAGGAATGATTTCAATAGATGTAACTATCCTTCTGTACTCATTCCCTCAATCAAATTTGTAAAACATAAAGAGCAAAAAAAGAAAATATAATTTAATAAAAATAAAAAATATATAATATAATAAAAATAATAAAAAACAAACAGCTTAGGTCAGGGATTTTCCTAGGAACGTGAAGTAAAAATGTTTTTTGATAATAAAAAAACGATTCAAATTGTCACACATAGAGCTTACTTTTCTGCTTATGGATGATTCAACATGCAATTTTCAGAAGCCTTAGATTAAAAAATCCAAAAACTAACTTTTCAAAAACCAATCTTTCACTTCTTTTAAAAGCTTAAAGACTATTTCACCAGTTCGCTAATCAGTCGCCTCGGAAAGATGAAGAATCAAGATCAAGGAAAGTTTTAAACATAACTTTGTTGGATAATTTAGCAATCAGAACAAATATAAGTTTCGTGAAAATTTTATGAAGTTTAAACTTAAAGATTATATTTTCATAATTTCATACTTATGATGGAACCATGAAGTGTCCCTAAATGGTTTGTCTACTAGTTTGTTTTTCTCTCTATGGATGTCCATTATCACCTTCATTACATGGAATTTGAGAAAAAAAAAATTAATAGAAACATACTGGCTGTCATATCTGTTACTGAAATTGTAGCCGTTTCATTATCATGGGACACATCACTTTGTGACTGCTCCATAGCGGTATCGATAACGGATGTTGGCGAATCCCGTGATCCCGATTGTATTGCTTCGAATGCTGTCACTGAAATCGTGCTGCCACTACTACTTGTGCAACCATTCAATGATGCATCGTATGCCAAATTCTGCAGAAAGAACAGAAAGAGTACATATAATGACCACGAACTACTTTAAAATTCCTGACATATTCCCGCCAATTTGCGATCGAAGATGCTTGGATCATCATTGGTCTACGATGGTATAGGTTTTCCGATTTGAAAGTTAGTTTTTTCTCTATACTTCAGAAAACTTCTGTACTAATTTTCTTATACTGTATACACATATGGAAACAAGTGATCCAATAAAACTTTAATTCGCTTTTATTCTTACCTTGTCTCATCCAATTAACAGCCTCAAACTGCAACTATTTCAGTCATATACAAACAAATGATCCAACTTGGCATATGTTAATAAGTTCACAACGCTTACCATTGCTCACAAACTTCACAATGCAATCTCTGCGCTTTGCAATTCATTTTGAATATTTTCTAATAACAACAAAATCTCTTACACGGAAAAGGGGAGGGACGTTAAGAAACAATGCCTTAAAAATGGTAAGATAGAAAGTCTGCGATATTGGACGGAATGACTTTATATATTATCGATGAAATGAAACTGTTACGTGCTTTCGAAAAGACTTTTAACGATACCCGTCTAACTGGCGGATTGCTCCGTGAACTATGCGGAACGGCATGCAAACTTTCCAAAGCTTTCGTTTCGTGCCGTCGACGGGTGGAAAGTCGTGGTAGAGTACTTCGTTGTGGCACAACCTTACTCATGGCCACATTTGGCATTCGTGTTCTTCGCAGAGTGAGAGCTGGAAAAAATGGAATATGAGATGGAGAAAAAGGGTATGAAAATTTGGTTCATAAAGGAATTAAAGCGAAATTCGTTGAACGTACGCAGCGCATGTGAAAATAATGTGATACCTAATAACAAAATACAAAAAACCAATTCACTGTTAAGAAAAGAAATAAAAGCAAAAACGTTTTGATTTGAATTTCAATAATAATGTTTCATAACAAGAACGACATTTGAAACTGAAAACAGAAAGCGAAATTTTCCGAGACTGCCTCAGCCTGAATGATTCCATCCCATCTAGAATATACCAACACATACATACCTTGCCTCCTACTCAGTTTTATTCATTTTCAAACTTTTGTGCTACTACATCTTTACAAATTTTTACTCATCCTACTGTATTGTGTTGGTATATTCCTAACTTCACTTTTCTAATCCATCATTCCTTCCCGGCATTGATTTCCCGTTTGATCCCACCATATACTGCTCCTTTTTTTACAATTTCTGAAGAAAAAATTGAAAGCAAAGAGAAGTCAAGAACAAACTTTGCAGGTTTGAAAATCAAGAAAAACTTCTGAATACGAAAGCAATCATGACAATTATGAACACTCTTTCATCATTTCCGAGGAAGAATAAAATCATGACAATAAATTTTCTCATTTTTCCGATTATCTATCGATATGATTATAACACTTATAAACGTTAACTCTGACCGGATTAATGTGCCATCATCATAAAAAGTGAAGGTGTTTTCTTTCCAACAATTCCTGAAAGAAAAATTCAAACTTACACTCAAAAAAACACATGCGCCATTAAAAAAAAGAAAAAACTTATCGTCGTAAATACATCTTCGTTCTCAAGAAATGCTAGAAAGAAGTGATGTATGGCCTTCTTGTTCGTACTCCTTTTCTTAACCAATCAACCGATTCCAAATGATAATAAAATGCCAATGTTTCTAATGAAACGAAATTAGAACAAAGACTAGAAGAAAAACAGAACGTAAATTTTTCGCACCAAAAAATAGGCCAAAAATTCCCCAAATCCAATAATAAATAATATTACAAATATAAAAACGGGATAAATAATGAATGCAAGTAACCAGAAGAATCCACTACCTTTTTAGGTCGACATCCTACATATTTATCACAAACGACAATATTTGATAAACTTACCAAAAAAAAAGATATGTGAATCTGCCGAACGAAAAGAAATTAATTTTGAGAGTAAAAATGGAAAAAGAGTCAAGTCATTTAACACTTGAAGTTTTAATTTAAAATCTGCAATAACAATGATATGCTTGAATCTAGTAAATCTTATGACTTCTAGTTTTACCATACTGTCAATTAAATGAAATTCAATTCCAATATTCACTGCGCTACAAAAGAAATTGGAAAGCTTGTATCATGCTAGTGCAACTCACTTGTAATTTTGATATTATGATAATACGTCTTCACTCCGTTTTCACCTTATTATTTGAATTACCAAACCGTTTACTAACATAACAATGCAATGCTATATCCCATATTCCATTTCACTTATATTTAACAATAAAGCTATGTGATATACGAAAGCACTGATAAGAACCAGTGCTTCATTCCGGAAAAAAACATTGAAATTCAACAACATTTCCTTTTATCGATGATACAATCAAAATTTCAAACATATATGACCTTCATCACTATATTGCAAATCCAGAAACATGATGTAGTACAGAAGTGAAACAACGAAAGGAATAGATATATTAGATGAATGTCAAAGGAATAACATGTTATCAGTAAAAAAGATCGCCCTCTGTAATCGAGTAATCAAGTGAAAAAGAAATGGAATGATTAAGAAAAACAATTCCTCTTTTGAAACAAAAATAACTGTAGCTATATTATCTTTTATCAATTTAAAAAACAATTTGATAATAAATCCTAATTCTTTTTCCCAGTACAATTTATGAGAAGTGAATAAGGACATATAAATGAGGCAAACTACATCCACGATAGCTAAATTTGCACACATAAAAGTCTTCATAAAAAACGCTTTCACATTTGTCTGCGTGAAAAAAAAAAGGATTTTCGTGAAAACAATAAATAATATAATACGGGAAAAGAATGCTATCATTTATTGCCTTCACGGAACTGCAACTTTTTAAATCTTTTCTTAAAATTGACCTTTCAATAACGAATTATTGAGGAAAGTAAGAGGGATAAAGAAATAGAGAAGGAAGAAGAATTTGAAAATACTGTATGATTGTGTTGAAATTGGGACATATGGTGATGAAAATAATTGACGAGAAAGGGCTAGAAAATTGCTAAAAATTTGCAAGAAAAAAAAAAAAGGAAACGAAATGAACAAATAAAATGAAACGACTGGAAATAATAATACACTAAAGGCTATATAGCTCAGGCTAAACGTAATTTAACGCGGCCGAAAAATGATACACTGCTTAGTTCGATAATTAATTTATCACTTATATTGAAGTTACGAGAGATAGGACTTCCAAAACCGACTTGTCGACTATTAATGATTGTTGATATATGATCAGTTCCTTATTCTAGTACAGTATCAATGAGAGGTTTTACTGTTTTCTATATGTATAATTTAAAATTTTGAGCATAAAGTTATTCGTACTAAAGTAATCTTTTTAATTAAAAAAAGTTTTCAAAACTAATTTATTAAAATCTATGACAAAAAATAAACATAAATGAAATGATATAATGTGAAATTTTTTCATAAATTATTAAAATAAAAGAAAAAATGAAAAAGTTCTGGAAATATGTTAAAGTTCAAATTTGTTAAACTTCAAATGAAAATAAGAAAATTAAATCGTAATTATAAATACTCTATGAGTGCCTTGAATTTAAAGGGAAAAAAGAGCTTCCCATTCAATGAAATATTAAATTAAATTAAAAGTTAAAATGCGGGAAAAATTTTAGTTCATTTTTCTTTACTGAGACAATTTATTTCTCTAATCAACTTTCTCTTCCTATCTTACCTTTCTTTTTCGTCTTTGCAGAAAACAAACTGTTTTCTTTTTTTAAATACAGGCATAAAAGGGTAGGAAATAAAATTCTTATTCTTTTGTGATAGATAACGATTACATATGGGATTACACTTTAATTTAATTAGTCAGGTTTTAATTAGTAATTCATTAATCAGTCCAATATTAAATGGATAATGGTTGAATAGCTGGAAGCAATTAACATTTAATCTTATCAGAAGTTTGTTGTATTGATGGATGATCTTTATGATAATCTTTAGACTGTACATAAATGTTTGTAATAAAAGGAAAAAGAATTATACGTTATTGGAAGCATCGATGTAACATTACTTTACATTGTAAAAAGGTTGTATATGAAGAAAGTATTTGTTTTTACTTCTTTGAGATGTCTCTTTTTGAATCTAAATTAAAGTTATACATAAATTCACATAATGGCATTCTTATTGACACTAAATTCTATCCTCGCATCATTCTCGTTACGATTATGCATATAA